ACCTAAATTTTAAATTTTAAATACTTATGACTCATAAACCTACCAGTTTGAATTTCAATTTGTATGCATAAAAATACTTAAAAAAATATATTGTTTTTAAATATGTAATTAAAAATATATGTTGTCATTCAAAAAAGTAAAAAAAATTAAAAATTATACCGATAAAAAATATTTTAAAAAAAAGGTTGTTTTATTTCAACTAGAAATTAAGTAAGGCATTTTTTCAAAAGCACTAATAGATTTCGAAATGCTTAATTTTAGATAAGAGAATTACCCTGTATACAATTTTCATAAATTTTAGTTTTTGGAATCAACCGAGTGAAAACACTCCGGAATGTCGTGTGGAGATGGCGTTACACAGTAGACGAGCTCAGCGAAAGCAAGATGAAGCGAAAAGAACACCTAAAGAAAAACCGTGCAGGACTCCAAAGTTGTTCGCCGAAGACGGCCGTCCGTATAATTTAAACCAACCAAAAGTACCGTACAAAATGGAAAATGAAGATAATAGATACGTGCTTACTGTTCATGTGTACAAGTAAATCAATATCATATAATAAAGTTTTTAATGCAAATACATTATTTAAACCTATATCATGTATAATTTAATAATGTTGAAGTTTTATAAGCCAACGCAATTTCGTGGGACACTTAAGATTATACATGCCTATTATATTTTTTAAATGGACATAGCTTTGGAAATTTTTATAGGGAGGGGACAAACTTTTTTATAGGTAAAATCACAGACCTTATTAGTTGATTTAATTGTATAACATAATATCTGAGCATGCTCAGTATTTACATTGTTTCGTTCAATGACGAATTTATTTGAAAAATTTAAATTTGAAGTAACTATATTGGTACTTGCTTTTATTTATCACTTATAAAATATTTCGATTTTTAAGCCATTTAATAAAAAGTGTCCTGCCGTAATAAAAACTTATTTTCAAATGAGAAATATCTAACCAACCTTTTTTTTATGTAAATTGTAAATGACATTTTTGAAAATATTTAAATATTTAAATCTAAATCTAAATGAGTAGTTTTTTAGTTATTAAAATGTTTATTCTAAGTATAATAATAAAATATAATAATGTATTATAAGAATTTATTATATTATATATACCCCTTAATAGGCTTAAAAAAAATTAAGAAAATTAAAAAAATTTATAAAATATATACGATATATTAATTATTAATTATATAATGATTTTAAAACCATTATAACTTCCACCATATCTTCCAACTTTAATAGTTATGATTATTATTAGTAGGTATACACAAATAATAATAACTCAATGTCTCAATAAAATCATCTGATAAAAAAAATGAGTTTCTAATTTAAAAAAAAATTAATATAATTAAATACACAATAATACAGTACCTATACAATTTATCTATAGTTAATTATTTAAAATTATATTTATTATTTAAAATCATTATTTTATTCTGAATAAAAATGTCAATGTCCATTAATCAAGAATAAGTTTTTAGTAAGGTTTTTCTAATTATTTAAGAAATAACTAGATTGGCATTACTCAACGTAATTAATTTTAGAGAATCACGCTGTACAATAACATTTATTTTTCGGTTTAGGTTCATGGACACCAGTGAATTGGATGTGGACGTTCAACCCACGTATGTGAGGGTTACTGTACGAAAAAAGGTATTGCAATTGGCGCTGGACGAAGAAGTAAGAGTGGACGAATCCAATGCGAAACGGTTGATTGGTTCGAAGCTATTAGAAATAACTATGCCTAAAGTAAATTATCGCCGCATAATATATATATAAACGTTTACCAGTAATATGTTTATATTTTTATTGTATATTATGTATATTTTATTATAGGTAAAACAAATAATTTGCCCAGTTAAAAAACAATGCGCCACGGACAAAAATTTTCACGGTGAAAAGTATAGTAAAATTTTTGTTTTTCATTATTATCTATCATTTGTATTAGTAAATACTTCTCTATAACACAGAAAAATTATACAGAATAGGTAATACATAAATTGATCATGATTAGATGAGTTAGTAAATATTTCTGATACAATATGCGTACCGCATACCCATTAAATTCAAATTTATGTTTAATTATGCATAGCTTTAAAGAGAGCATACCTATATGCTTAGGTAGGTACTTGTATTATTTATTCAAAGTTCCATAATTATTTTAACTCGAGCTCTCTATCATAAAGTACGGAATTTAATCAACTTTTGACATATAGCCATATAAGTATTACGTTTTAATAGGACCTATATTATAGCAAAAATAATTAAATAATATTAACAAGTTTAGTAGGTACCTAAATCCTTTTCTTAAGTTTATTTATACGGACATATTTATTATTTGACTTTATGCTTCATATTTACGTACTTACATTTTTTCTTTTATAAAAATATTAAATATATGATTTAATGAATACTGTATAATTCATCGCAGTAGATTATTATGCAGGTAAAGTGAAAATAAGTGATATTTCTTTAATTTATACGAGTACAATATAATATCTCTCGCATTAAATATAATATATTATATGAATCAGTTGCATATTTACGAGGGGAGGGGGGATCCCCCTCATAGGCAATAGGCTGTATATACAAATAATTATAGTCATCATATTATTTAAAAAATTATAAATGTTTTTTTTTTTTCAATAATTGATTAAATTTGCAAGAATTAAAATATTATAATATATTGTTCAATATTCTCATTGCTATCTTCATATATTAAGTCATATCCCCCTCCCACTACAAAAACCTAAATACGCCACTGATATGAATTATATTGTTTTAATAACAAATGTGCTTAAATTTTTTAGTAAATTGATATTAACGGATGAAGTATTTGATAGTCAAAAGCATGTGGAATTTTGGAATATAACTAATTCATCAACAAGCTTAAAGAAAATCGGAGACAATAACCTTGAGAATTTCGTCGACAATTCCGAAGTACCGCCTTTAGAATAAAGGTTAGAAGTTTCTAATATCTACAACGGATAATATAAATATAATTTTTCATGTTATATTTACAGTTAACCCGATGGTTAATTTTAATTAACCTCAATTATTACCACAGTTGGAGAAATTAGAGTTTATCAAAATGGTTATTCGTATATAATAGCAATTTTATAAATTAAAAACAGTGAATATAAATTGTACACGAATAGCTGTTTTACCGCAATTTTTCAAATTTTGTAACTTAATTATATTAATAATTATGTACGTAATTCACCTTACGAATAGAATTATACAATTTTTTCAATACACTGCCCAATTATTAAATATTTATTCTCATACAGTCATACACTCATATCTATATATAGTTAATACGACACACATGCTTGTTGGCAAGATATAAGAATCAATTCCATCAATGATTTTCATTATTTTATTACCTATAAATATATCCATACACCAATCATTTATCAATAATATCAAATATGTAAAAAGAGCTAGGTATATAATAATTTTATGACCACTGCTTTTTTTTTGTCATTACGGTTGCAGAGTGCCAAGATGAACTGGACGAGTTAGGTACGGATAGTTTTCACTTCTCAACTAATTGTAGACTGCAACAAAATTCCGGAAAAATGCGAAATCGTGTAGATTTTATAACCGTTTACATGCTTAATGCTTATATAACTTGTCGTGAATTTAAATGCAACGTTTCATGACCAAAAAATATGTTTAAGCAAAACATAATATGTATAAGTATAGTATACCTAACAAATATGTTATTGTAAAAAATGTAAAGTACATTATCCATTTTGTGCAATAATATACGATTGCTATTTTTGAAATAACATTTTTGGAAAACCATGTTTTTATAGAACATTATAACAATAGCACTTTACCCATTATTGCACTTATCATATTTGATATTCTTACTAGGAATCATGATTAGAGAATAATATCTCTAATAGAGATGTATTTTGATATTAATTATAACAGATTTTGTTGGAAATGTTGGAATTTTATTAGTTTTGATTTGACGTTGTTTTGTGTGACAATAGTTTAAGTTTTAGATGGATCAAAATCAAATCATATTGTTTACTATTTTAGGCACTGCAGTGGTTGTTAATTGTCAATTTTTTTTTTACAATTTGTACTTCTAGTTCCTCTTCATGCTTAATTGCATCTAGTACATCCTTTATCACCTAATTGGAATTGTTGAAGTATATTTTTTGATATATTTGGTTAGAAATAATTGAAAATAGGCAATTGGTTTTATCTATAAGTGTAGGTATTGATAATATTTATTATGAAATTAACATATTATAAATAACGTTTTAAAAAAGGCCACATAGGCATAAGCAACATATAAAATTGTTATTCATTAACTTAAATGTGTCAATCTTTATAACTATTAAGTTATAAAACAGGTTAATACATTTTATTTATTGATTTTATTTTAAGCCCAGCATTTAAGGCCATTAGCTGTGGATAGAACAGTACCTAGGTTTTTTGTGTAGGATTTGAATGTAAAGTTGAAACACGTGTGTATGTATGTGTACCATGGGTTCGTCATCAAGAACCCGAATGGTCACTCATCCGAGGGCTAGTGATTCCTGCCAATGCTTGACCTCAGAACACATAAGTGACTGAGGCCAAGGCCAACCACTACACCACACTAGACCATGTTAATAAATTGTTTATAACGCAAAATTTGAATATTTTCTTTACTATTTTTTTTTTAATGAATAATAAATTAACAACAAAAAATGTGATAAAATATATATAAAAAAAAAATAATAATAATAATAATACTAAAAGCCAAAATGAATACAAAATAACAGTGTTAGGCCAGTTGAAATTACTTTAAAAAATAATATTTGTATAAAAATATTTCTATTTTATTAGTAAATTAAATTAGACAATTTTTTTACAGCCGTTTATGAACACTTTGAGCTTATAAGCAAAAATCTTACAACTTATTACAACCCTACAAGAATTAGCTCACTCAGTATTATGGTTAAATTGATAAATAGGATTTTATGAAATTTTGTACAAAATAAAAATAAAAATACATAACTTCCACCGAGGACAACCAATAAAATTTTTTGTGGTCTAAGCCACTAACATCAACTGCTTTATTATATTAGACAAGTATGATGATGTCATGATTATCTCGTTTTTATTTAAACAATTATTATTAATAATGGTAACATAAATATTTACATTTACTTGTATGATAAGGAACAGCTTCACAGAAAACCATTTTGCTAAGCATTTTAATAAAAAATATTAATTTATAAATTGTTAATAGTTCTTCTAGTAAAATATGTTAAAGTACATATGATAATATACAATTTTATGCATATTCATATCAATGAGCTTAGCAAAATGTTTATCTCTTGGTGTTTCATAAATTCTGTCAATAATAATAGTGTCCATTTAAAATTGTCTGTATTAAATACTTAACTATTCAACAACAGCGATTAGACAATCTGTCAGATTTCCTATCAATGTTAATTTTTTCAGGTACATCAGTAGGTTCGCGTCCAGGAGTTTTGTTCAATATTGATAATGTGAGGTCAGTAAATGCTTTTTCGATGTTTATATTTGCTTTTGCAGATGTTTCTAAAAAAGATATGTTATGTTCACGAGCAATACCTTCACCTCTTGATTTACTAACAACACGTTTATCATCCATATCACATTTGTTTCCTAAAATCATTTTTTCTACATCTTCATTAGCATGCTGAAAAGAAAAAAGTATATTACTATAAATTGTGTAATTTATATTATATTTATAACTTTAATAGTTAAATATTTTGAATTTAGAGCTATTAGATACTAAACATGAGTATTTGCTTATATTAAAATCAGGTAATTACAGTCGATATATACAACAAAAATATAAATAGCTACAAATAAGTTTAATTATTTTAAATAAAATATATTTTTAACAAAAGCTTAACTGGATAAAATAAGATAAATCTGATAATTTTTTATTAATGTGTATGACAATAAATATATCTTTTACTTCATTTTTTTTATAACCATTGACCATCAATAATTTAAAGTTTCTAGAATTTTGGAAAAATTTCTAATTACTGAGAGTGTGAATTGTTGAGTAGTTTGAAAATGGAGAGAGCAAAAAAAAAAAAATTAGAATTACAGAGAGTTAAGAAAGAAATTTTGTTTTTTATTATAGTACATACATAATTATTAAATATTTCAGCAAATTAGACAGTATTACAGTTATTTATTATTTTTTAAATGTGAATTAAGCTATGTTTATATTTAAACTATGTACATGATTAAACCGAGGATATAATTATATTATGTAAATTAAATAATTATTATTATTTAAAAAATCTGTTATTGTTTTCTACTTCATTAAACTTAGTTTCATTTTTTCAATAGTATTTTCTAGAGTGAATAAATCTTCAAAAACCTAGACAATAACTTTTGAATGGGGTGAAAAGTTACATTATTTTTCTTAGGATGAACTGGCTTTTTTTAAAATTACAATACGATAAGAGACGATTAAAAAATAAAACGCTTAAGATAATAATTCTATAGTTACTGAAAATAATAAGCTTAATTTCTACATGATTATGTAGTTGGATGGTAAATTATTAACAAAAAGATTACGAGAAATACATTTGATGAATATACTTTAAAGTACTGAACGTTGAACTGATGAAACTTCGAATTGTCAAGTGTTAGTGACCAGTTTTTCCGAAATTTAATTTTGAATTACTGAGTGTACTTAAAAGAATGATTTGTATTTGAATTACCATGAGATTTACAATGAGCATTTACTTTGAATTATTAAAGAATTAAATTATCATGAGTCGACTGTATAGAATATCAAATTCAAAATATACATACCTATATATTAATAACTTAAAATATTAAATTCTGTATATATAAATAAATAATAATAATAAATAAATGTTACCTCATTAATATTTCGTAGCCATTTCACTATATTTTCAAAACTTTTTTCGTTTGTAATATCATACACTAACATAATTCCCATTGCTCCTCTATAATAGGATGTTGTTATGGTATGGAATCGCTCCTGACCTGCTGTATCCCTAAAATTTAAGTTATATTATAAAATATTATCAAAAAAAAAAGTTCTTCATAAATTTAAATTTAAAAATAAAAAATTAAGTTTACTTTGGAAATAATTTGAAACTGGTAACACAATACTGAAGATATCATAATTATATTTTTAATAAGGATGCCAATAGAATTAAAATAATAACATAAAAACTTGTTGACTATATTTATGACCTTCTAAGTAAAATAACATTCAACTATTTGTTGCATAATTTAATAAGACAAAGAAAAAGTAAAACATCTTGTAAACATTTAAATATTAAAATACAATCCTTACCAAATTTGAAGTTTAATTTTTTTGCCCTGAAGTTCCACTGTTTTGATTTTGAAGTCAATACCTAAAAATAAATTGTATCAATTAACAATCAAAATAATAATAAAGGTAAATAAAGGTATTCTTTTTAAATTAACTACTAGAACTTAACTTATTTGGGTTTTTAAGACAAATGTATCAAGAGCTATTTAAAATACTATTTATGTTTTCAACAAACAAAAAAATATAAGTTATATTTTATAATCACTTTAAATTAGCATACAAGTTTTAATAATTAAAATAAAAAAAATCAATTTAATATTGAATTAATTAATTTGTATCGAGATTTATTTTTTTACCTCTTAGCTTCTACATTGAAAATGATAATACTAATACAAATAACTACACTCTTGTAAATAAGTCATTAAATGTTATTAGTAAGTAATTACTAATTTTAGAGCCAAATAACTTCTATTTTTAATTGAATCATTAATATTATACACCATTATAACTCATTATTAGAAAAATAATGGTTGATATAAAAAAAATAAGGAATCTAAATTTAATTAAATATTTTTACCTAAAAGTGTGTATAGGATTAGTTGATAATATTTTAGCAGAGGATAAAAATATAAAACTTGAAAAATGTCTAAGTAGTTTTTTTTTTTAATAACCACAAATCAATTGGTAAATTTTTATAAAAAAAGAAAAAAAGGGTATAGCATATTTTTGCACTGGAACTTATGAAAATATAATTGAAAAATGATTAGAGTTAAGTATATTGTGTAGTACTTAAATTAGAGAGTAATGAATATGTTATAGTTAGTAAATACTAGGTAATAAAAATATTACATGTAATGCTCTATATTGCTTTTTTTTTTGTAGCTTTAAACACTTACTACTATAGGTATTTTTTTTACGAAATAATTAGAAAAAACAAAACAATACAATTGCAAATATTTTTTACATTCAAATACATAGTAGGTATTCTCTTCATTAGTGCAACTTTTTAAGAATGTATTTACTAAAATGTTTTAAATATAATATTAGATACCAAATGATAGAAAAAAAATAAACTTCTATTGCTAAGATAACAATATTTTCATAATAACTTTATCAAATATCAAGTATAAAAATATATTAAATAAAATTTTGATATCTATTAACTTTTGATTTGGTGGATAGTACACAGTATTACTGATGTTAAAAATAAAGCAATATATCTAATTAGTTATTTGTAAAAAGCATGTGATATATGTCCAGAATAAAAAAATGTTAGCTCTATAGTGTGTCAAATTTTGATAATAAAATAATTATCACATTAGTTTTACTGATATTATTTTCTCATAAAAATATGCGATAAAAACTAAATAATTAAAAGTTCAATTAAATATGACCAGTATAAATAATTTTGATTATTTAATTCTAACAGACTTTATTAACTTCTGATATACCTATGTAATGATTTCTTCCTCCAACAAACCTGAGATGAGAGTAATAAGACCATTACTATAAATAATATTAGAATATACATAAATTCATTCATGTATTTTACCATATCCAGAAATATTTTTAAAATTATGTACTAACATTTGAAATTCAACAACAATCTAGATTTTAGATCATATTTTAATAATAGCAGGCAATTGCAATATGTCTAATATATCTTGTGGAAGTTATTCTAGTATGCACACTCAAATGTATGGCTAAAAACTTAATGAGACTGACATGTTATAAGAGTTTATGATATCAATAGAATCAAATTAATACAGTTTAACAACAAAACCAACATCAATTAATTCAATTATATTCTAGTGTTAATATTACAGACCTTAATTTTACTAAAGTTAAATCCGATTTGAAGTATCTCCACCTTTTCAAATACCTAATCAAATAATATTAATTTTTATAAGTTTTGAAAAAAAAAAAAAAAAACAAAATTTTTCTTTTCTTGAGAGAATTTTTAAGTAATAAATTATTATTTATGATTACTTAAATGGAAATTTATCTTTTTGAGTTAATCTAACCTTTTTGCTACTATATAGATAATTTATGAACTAAATATATTTTTTATACAGCACTAAATACGAAAAAAGAAAAAGAAAATATTTTTAAAATTAATATTGTTCAAAAACTTTCTACAAATATTAAAATAATTAACTAAAATTATAATCAGTGAATAAAAGCAATAGGTAGGGAGGTCTTATATCTTATAAACTGTTTAAACAAATAAATTTTGAATATTATCATGATTTTTTTTTAAATAATGTTGTGCAAATGTACATTTTATTACACCTCCTACTTACATGAATAATACAAAATTTTGTTTTTCCCGTAACCCAAAATAATTTTTAAATCATATTAAGTCTGAAAAAAAAAAACGGATAATAGTATGGAAAAAGATATGAAATTTAATAATATTACTAAGACAAGAGATTCTCTAATAGCAGAAGATCTTTTAAATAAAGACTTAAGCTTGGTATATGTACACTCAACCACTCATCTTAATGTTAATAATTATAAAAACTTTTATAAGTGGGAAATTTATTGAATTTTCTTAATTTCAATATTTAACATCTGACGTTTCTATATTTATAACTTAAGGGCTAAAGTTCTAATTCTAGATATGGTCCAGACGATATTCTCAAAGTCTGGACAGCTGCCTCCCCAATAAAAATTTAGACTTCAAACTATTCAAAACAAATTGCTAAGAATAACACGTATATTCGAAATAAACAACTGCATAGGTTAGGTGTATGCTTTGATTCAAAGTGCGCCTTATCTAAAATATATGCTTAGACATAATTCTAAATTCTCATCAGTTCCTAAATAATATTCATCAATATAATGATAATTTAAACATTTATTACAGATTATATGAAAATAATTTTAATAAAATCTGCGCATTTATCATCTGACATAGAATTAGATGAGGCTGATCAATGGAAACAAATCTATATATTTTTACTTAAATTTATTAGACCTTATAGGTTAGTATTAATTTTCTAAATAATGTTCATTATCTTGTTTTTTTATGCTTCTGTGGACATTATAATTTTAATTATTAATTTTATTCGTCCATTATTTAGTGTATCATAAACTTATAATTTACCTGTATTATATTAGTTTTTGATGTATATTTTTATATTAGGTATTTTAAGCAATTTATTTACTGTTATTTTAGATTTTTATTTTAGTATATATTATCTGTACTTTGCTGTACTAGGCATTGATTTAAAATAAATGTTTGTAATATTTTGATAGGTATTATAAGTATACCTATTTCATCATTATAATAATTATTATAATTTTTAATGTAATAATTAATATTGTGTACCTACCTATTTAATTTAAATTTAAAACAAAATTCAAATGCATGGAAAAAATTTGAAATGATAATTGTCTCTAACATAAATATGAATTTATTGGTAAATATTTAGTTAAATCTTTATTGGAAATTCTAATTGTAATACCTAGATTATTTTATTATTTTCTTTCTATAATAGAAAATGGTCTATTACATACTTTTAAGATAATTTTTAAGTTTTTTTTTTTTTTAAATAAGTAATTATTGATTTCTCATTTAAATTAAATAAATGATTACAAACAGTAACTAAATAAATTAATGTTTTGATAGGTATGATGGGTCATTGTACTTTCATAAAATGTAATAAATGTTTTTACTTATTCTACTAGGATGCTCTGTGTATGCTGATGAATATTACATTAGTACATAATGGATGATGAATATAGGTATACTATTAACATATAATCATGCATTAGAACTATAAACATTCTTAAACAACAATGTATTAAATTTCTTTTAAATTTTATTTTTAGGTACCTGCTTACTCAACTTGGTATATATTACAATTTACAGTTTTATAACAAAACATGATATGGTAAGTAAAATTAGAAATAGAATAGGTAATATTAGTAGTTTCTACATAACATAATAAGGATATTAAGTGTCTTGTTTTAATTAAATTAAAATGTATGCAATGCAGATAGAGTAGCACAATAGTTACCATCAATTAATTTTAGGTTTACACACATAAACAACAACCAATTAAGTAGGTAAATCATATTGTAATTTATTTTACTTAAAATTATTAGGAAATTGCTAATTTAAAATTTAAAAAATTTAACTGTAATGTTCTGCCCACCTAATAGTAAATACAGCAATCATCATAATAGTTAAATAATTTGTATTTTCAAATAAAAATTCTTAAAGAGTAATCAAAATTAATGATAGGGTCATGAATATTTTTAATGGGACTTTACATTTAACTATAAATCTCTTATTTTTATAACTATAAACTAGGTATAACATAATATATAATACCATATAGTATGTAATTATACGTAATATTTTTAAGTTCTACTATTTAAACTTCTCAGCATCAAATAGTTTAAATGATTTTTAAACATTTTACTGAGTTCATAAATATTAATCAATGATTAGAAAAAATTCTTTTAACTTATTACATCACTGTTATCGCATAAATTAATGTAAATGACCCCAATCAAACAAGGACGATTAATAAAACATGACTTTGATATACACAGATATAGGTACCTACTCTACATTGCAATTGACATAATATTATCTATTTATTAACAGAAAGATAATATGAAAAATTGTTAAAACTTGTGTAGATAATTAAATTGATTGTTTTGAGTATAAAAAGTACCTGTTTACCTACAATCAATTTAAAATTATTAATAAATAATAATTCTTACACACACAGACAAAATTAATATAAGATATCTCTATTAAATTTGAATGATAAACTTTAACAATCAGAGATAGCACTTGTCTAACATTAATAATTAATAATAATTGTACAAACAAATCTTTCCATGAAACAGGTCCATGTTATCCTAAGGCTCATTTAGTCACATAATCTCTATCAATCAGATTTGAAGGTCATTATTGTCTCCAGTGTATATAAAATATAGTATAAACGAGTAAGTGTGCATTTTCCTACTGAAAAGTATAATATGCAGGACAATAGATCCAACAATCAAACTATCAGAGGGGATACGAGATTAAAAAAACACAGGAATAAATTAAACAAATTAAATTCTAACGAGTCGGACATCGCCCACTCACCAATGGTCGAAATGAACGTCGTGGTGAACGCATCGTCTGAGAACCTGAACAGAATGCATGTCTTGCCCACGCCCGAATCACCGATCAGCAACAACTTGAACAGCAGATCGTACGTCTTTTTGGCCATCACGGTACCGGGTTTCGTTTTCGTCAGAAAAAGTCTAAAGAAAGGGAGGTGTAGATTGAAAGAGATGCAGTTAGGTAGGCCCTTGAGTAAAATTTCAAGATTACGTATTGGGACGGCGGTCCAAATCAATCAACAATGTAGCTGACCACAAGCGATTGTTTTTATTTTTTTTTTTTCTTGGCGGTTTTCTAATATTTTATCAGCGGCCTTGCGACGTATTCGACGGACTGGGACGACAAAACAACAACGGCGATGACGACGTGGAAACGCGTCACTAGACCTAATGTTAATAATTAACTGCGTCAAGTATTCAAGTGCGACACGAACAGTGAACTGCGAATTACGATTAACGAAAGAAAATAAGATTTAATAGTTTTATGCTATAATAAAAAAAACGTTATCTCGGCTGTGGTCGTATTCGTCGTCGTCATGGATCGGTCGGTTATTGTGTGACGGTCCAGCTCCCCACCAACAGATAATGACAGTAAGGCGTTAAACACGTTTCGTTGCAAGAACGGTAACACTGTAATTCATGGAGGCCACCGTTTTTGTTTTTTTTCAAAAATCTAACCGTCACCAAACGATATTGATATTTGATAATAAACAATAATATATTATTAACGTTAATAATTAATTAATAATTTAATCAAATAAGTTGAATGTTGAATGTGAAAATAGTAAACTCCAGTTTTACTAATGAAAATTTACAATACTTATTAAATTAATAAAATGTTTGTGATTATAATAGTCAAAACATAATAAATAAAAATAAAATAAAATTTGTACTTCATAAAAAGGAAACAGGTGCGTCTTTATACTTTTTATGGCTTTAGGCTATGATTTTACTGTTATGCGTCTTAATGATGGCTTTGATATCTTATCTATAATTTTGTTGAAGATAATATTCAATAAGTACATTTTTTGGCTTTCCAATAACATTATATACTTCGCTAAAATGTTTCAATGTATTTAGATTTGATTTTAGGAAAAATTTTTCATTATAAGCACTATAGATACCAACTTATAACAACTTTACATAAAAACCAATACTATATCATATATACTGCTAAGTATTGCAGTGTTAATCAATACTTATTTTTGTAGGCATGTTTTAAGGGATAAGTAAAAATAATACATATATAATAGCTGTACAGCAAATAATTATATTTAAAAAAATAACAAATATTATAATAAAAAAAAAAAATCAGTCTCAACTTAAATATACTATATCTAATAGGTTAAGTAAGCATCTTACATATTCAGAATTATATATCTAAGATACACTTTACAACAGTATTTACAGATATCAACGAGATGGAAATGTAATAAAATAATTTAATCGACTTCTTCGACGGTAGGTCCTCCTCTAGAACCCGGGAAACCTTGGGCACCGGGAGGCGCACCGCCGGGTTGTCCACCGCCGTGTATCTTCATCATGAGAGCAGAGCAACTCTTTTGTATTTCCTTCAGTTTATACTCGTACTCTTCTTTGTCTGCCAATTGATTGTTGTCTAACCACTGGACGACTGCGTCGCATTCTTGTTTGCCAGTGTTCTTCTCAGATTCGGTCAACTTGTCACCGGCTTCGTCCAACGCTTGTTTCACGCCGAACACGTAGCTCTCCAACTGGTTCTTGGCCGCGATCTTGGCCTTTTGCCGTTCGTCCTCTTCTTTGTACCGTTCGGCCTCGCTGAGCATACGATCGATTTCGGCTTGAGACAGTCGACCCTTGTCGTTCTTGATGACGATGTTCTTGGAGCGGCCGGAACTGTTGTCTTTGGCCGACACGTTCAAAATTCCGTTGGCGTCCATGTCGAAAGTCACCTCGATCTTGGGCACACCCCTGGGCGCCGGAGGTATGCCGGTGAGGTCGAATATTCCCAACAGATTGTTGTCCTTGGTCATTGCTCTTTCTCCTTCGAACACCTGAATGGTGACGGCCGGTTGGTTGTCCGCGTACGTCGTGAACGTTTGCGTTTGTTTGCACGGGATGGTGGAATTGCGCTCGACGATTTTCGTCATCACTCCGCCCGCGGTCTCGATGCCCAACGACAGGGGCGTAACGTCCACGAGCAGCACGTCTTGGATCGCGGAACTCGTGTCACCGCTCAGGATGGCCGCCTGCACCGCGGCGCCGTAAGCCACGGCTTCGTCCGGGTTGATGGACAGGTTGAGAGGCTTGCCGCAGAAAAAGTTTTGCAGCAGACTTTGGATCTTCGGGATCCTTGTCGAACCGCCCACCAGCACAATGTCGTGGATGTCTCCCTTGTCCAACTTGGCGTCCGCCAAAGCCTTTTCAACCGGTTGCAGGGTCGATCTGAACAGGTCCGCGCATAACTCCTCGAAACGGGCCCGGGAGACTCGCGTGTAGAAATCGACGCCTTCCATCAGGGCGTCGATCTCAATGGTCGCCTCCGAGCTGGACGACAACGTTCTCTTGGCCCGCTCGGCGGCCGTCCGTAGCCGTCTCAGCGCCCTCGGATTGCTACGCACGTCTTTTTTGAACTTCCTCTTGAACTCGTCGGCCAGATGACTCACCAGCCGGTTGTCGAAGTCTTCGCCGCCCAAGTGCGTGTCGCCAGCCGTCGATTTCACTTCGAATATCGAACCCTCGTCGATCTGCAGAACCGACACGTCGAACGTACCGCCGCCCAGATCGAATATCAATACGTTCCTCTCGCCTTTCAGGTTCTTGTCTAGGCCGTACGCCAGGGCCGCGGCTGTCGGTTCGTTGATTATCCGCATCACGTTCAGCCCGGCTATCGCGCCCGCGTCCTTCGTCGCCTGTCTCTGCGAATCGTTGAAGTACGCCGGCACCGTGATCACCGCGTCCGTCACGCTACGGCCCAGGTACGCTTCCGCGGTCTCCTTCATTTTCGTCAGCACCATCGAACTAATTTCTTCCGGCGCGAACACTTTCCGCTCGCCTTTGAATTCAACCTGGATTTTGGGCTTTCCGCAGTCGTTCACCACTTTGAACGGCCATTGTTTCATGTCCGCTTGTGTCTTCTCGTCGTCAAACCGACGTCCGATCAAACGTTTAGCGTCGAACACGGTGTTCACCGGGTTCATCGCCACCTGGTTCTTGGCTCCGTCCCCGATCAACCGTTCCGTGTCCGTGAACGCCACATAACTTGGCGTGGTCCTGTTTCCTTGATCGTTGGCTATTACCTCCACTTTTCCGTGTTGCCAGACGCCCACACAAGAATAGGTGGTGCCCAGGTCGATACCGATAGCAGTCTTTCCGACCATTTTATGTTTCACCAAAAACTCGTAGGTCTCGTTCACGCACAATTAATAAGAATAGATGTTAAACGAAAAACGTATAGAGTAATAGTACACAATTCGATGATGATTTGAGAGTCGCTTTGATTTCAATATGTCGCACTTGAATAATTGAGAATAGCACAGAATAGCACGAAATAGTATTTCTCGCTCAATGTATCTCACTCGTATCGCTTCGAAATTCAAACTGAAGCCGGGCGGTGCGCTGCTAACGTTTATATAGCCGACGGAACGTTCTAGAAGGTTCGATACGTTTCGCGAGCGCTGTTGCTACCTCCGTGCCGTCCCCCTCGTTCACCGCCACCCGTTTTTACGTTATATTAATAACGGCCATCGTTATAGAACTTACTCGAATTTTCTCAATCTTTCTCGTTGTTTCATCGAGTCTTTGTAGCTTAATCAGATGTCTACTATTTTCTTTTCACTTGTCTTAAGATATAGGTAATATGTTATTTTTATTATAGGTATAAGCCTTGATTATAGAATAGACTTTTCTATAATCAATAGTTGGAGATAGACTATATTCATAGGCGGAACTACAGTCTGGGCCAAATGGGCCTTGGCCCATGCGAATCTCGCCCCGTACTAATATTTACAGTAAATTGTAATACATAAAATGGACATAATAATATGTAATAAAAAATAATAATATATTATAATATAATGTATCACATATTATACAAAAAAATATGCTTGAAAATAAGTAAAAATATTCAGAATAAATATCATGATTTATTTCTAAGTAAATTAATAATTAATTATAATTTAACTGAAATTTTTTTTTACAGTGTTTCATTTATATTTTGTTATTCTTTTCACTCACCAAATGGTCTCAATTATAATAGTGCAAGATGTCAACTATTTGTTTACGACATACTCGCCATATATTTTTTATATATATTATACATAAGATAATAATTTTAGTAGGTATTAGTGGAATTTTCCAATTCTCAACAGCTAATATTTTTTTAATTGCAAAAAAACTTTAAATGTTTTTTGTTCAAATATCTGATTTTATCAACATTTCTATCTTTATTTTCAACAAAATTTAATATTTATAGAAAATTTATATTTATTTTTTTTAATTACTAGATATATGTAAATAGGTAAAACTTATATTTTTAAGTTTGATGACTGAGAAAGTGAAAGTTTTTTATTAATATTCTCTGATATAGAAAATTGAAAATTTTAAATTCCTAATACAGTATATATACATTTACTCAGTATTCTAGAGTCAATGGCAAATTTTTACTTACATAAACTATACTACTTTACTTATACGTGTAAGTTGTACTCTTATGAGTTTGTAACTTATACCTATCAGTATTAAAAAGTTATTGCTAACCATTTTCTAAAAGTTAAAAATGCTCTTTTCATTTTATTAATAAGTTTAGATGACTAAGCATAGACACAAGGTGATCAATTTTTTTTTTGGTAGTGGTTTTTTAGGGGTAGGTACTAGGCATAGACCATATATATGTTATTTACATATCTAATGTATTAACTATTAACTAAATGTATAAAAATATATTTTAAAGATTTTACACAGCGTGGCTCGATGAAGGATCTGGACCTGCAGAATGGAAGTTCTAAGTGCTTCTGTATTTCATGGTTTATGACCGTGTTGAAATCTACGAATCAAGTAAAACGGGAAATACATGTAGGCAAAACTCCCTTTATTTTTAGGCAAAATTAGGTTGCCAAAGGATTGGTAAAATTTATCGCGTAAGTACTTCCTTAATTTTTTTTATAGCCAATTTTATTTTTATAATAATAAAGAAAACTTTTCAGAACGAATTATACTTTATAATAAAACCTATACTATTATAAAAATATAATTTAAAAACATTATATTATTTTTCATATCCATCTATATTTTTTCTTTATGCATTTTTTTTATTAATTCTCCAATAAAACTGTGTTATATATATATAGTAGAATATTTAAATGAATAAAAACAGTTGAATAGGAAATCACTAAAGCACCATATTACGTCTCCAATCACACACTCCATCATGACTTCTCCATACCCTTTATTGCAGACGTGGCTAAAACACACTATAAAAGATTCCACAACTGTCTTCTAAACCATAGAAATCCACTCATACACGACA